AGATCACATCTGCTTAGCAAGAGAGCTTTATATTTCTTTTTTTTCGTTCTTTCCCATATCAAGACCTTATTTTCATTGAAAATAGTAGCGATTCCGTTGCCAACTCTCCCAGCATATGCGAACGTATAATTGAAGCCGATTAATCGTTAGAGTGGGATTCGAAATAAACGCTGATCATATAAGAGTGATAAAGGGTCATTCAACAATAATTTATGGCTTGTCCTGATTACGATAATTTGCGGTTCAAGGAATAATCTTTTACTGAGAGCACTAAATCATTAATTATTGCAAACAAAGAAAAATCTTGCATGAATAATATTAGATTATGCAGAAGTAATGAGAGCCCTCGGCTCTATCGAATGGTTTCCCCACGCATTTTCTATATTCAAACTGCGGCTGTAGCGGAAGAAACGCTCATTACTTTTACATCAGTCTAATCAAAATGGGGCAAATCTGCTCGTCATCTAATGCGGTGTACTATCATCGGGAATGGCTTGAATATAAATTCAGAAGCTTGCGGAGTTATAATTACCAAAGGTTCGTGCCGCTTTTGAGATCTATCCCAGAGTCATTCAAGCAACTCGATGCAGAAAAAATCTTCCTTATTCTGGCAGTGATGTTTCTTTTTCCAAGATCTTCGGTGGTCGCTCAAATAATTGTCAGGATCTCCAACTCATGATTTTTACCATCATTTGTTTAAATAAAGGTAAAGCCTGCCTGTACTACTGTCTGCGTGGCGTACGTATGTTCCGTATAGAAATTTTTGTTTCTAAACCGATCGGTGCAAACTGTAAACATACAGTTTGTGGCGGGCCGGGTATCGTAAGCTATTTTTCTTTGTTGATTGATATCGATTTTATCGACATCCTGCAAAGTTTCACGTACGAGGATGAAAGTTGGCACTTGGGGTAGTGAGCATGCTGATTATGAAAATGGTATAGACAGGACTGGGCGGAGCCGGGTATGCCAGCTAGTTCTGGATGTTCTTTAAAATTTCTATTTTTAGCTTTTGGAAAGACTTTGGTTGCTGCAGGATAGAGCGAACAAAATGCAAGACAATGAATTTTTAGCTTCTTCGATAGCCTTTGTATTTCCTGGGAAAATTTTTCAAAACTCTTCATTTTGTGCGAAATCGTAAAATACACAAACCTTCATACACTAATAAACTGCGAATTTGAAACTTCCAAAAATTGATTTTGATTAAGCACTAATTATACAGAGCAAATGATTGTTTACCGCCGGAAGATTGAATTGTGAATTTTCCAAGCACAGCTTGGGATGTTTAAAGAATAAATTTGCAACGATTTTATCCTCAAAATTCTCACAAATTAGGAAAAAAAACGCTCGTAAGAAAGGAAAGAACAATCTGCATAGAATTACACATTATTGCTCGCTTCTGATGTGGCATTAAGATGACCCAATATAGAATTTGGTAACATCAAGAAAACAGATTGAAATTTTGAAGTTCTAACCATGCTTAATGCATTGTCTTGCATTTTATTCACTCTACCCAACAGTATCTAAGCTTTCCAAGTTATATCAGAAAATTTTGAATATAGCTGGAGTAGATAGAAACCAAGGGTTAAGAATCGGTGTAATTAATGAGGGAATATGAAAGGAATCGGAACCGGAACATCACTAATAGAAATAGGAAGAAATTCTGCATCGAACGCTGTTTACAGCGATTACTTAACTTTATTCTGAACGATTTTGGGTAGATTTCAAAAACGGCACGAATTTTCGGACCGACCTACTATATAATGTATTGATGATTGATGTAAAGGGTAAGAAAGAAGATTATGTTTGAAAAATAGAATGTCAAATTTTACCAGCATTGGCTGTGCCTCGACTAACGCATGTTCCTCGATAACTTTAGCCATTTGGGAAAATATCGATAACAGTTGCAGGAGTATATAGCAGAATATCGGATTACGGGCAAAACCTGCGGCACGTATGCGTCAAAATAAAGAAATTTATTCCACGGCAACTACCAATTCTCGACTTTCCATAAATCTCAGCAAACGATGCCACCAACAGAGAACTGGTTCTAGGGCCTACACTCCTCTATGCTACGAGTAGAACCATCAATGCTATTGTATTTTCGTGATTGGCAGATTTTTGGGCGCTATTCGCTGACATCAGATGTTTATACAACGGGTAACTAGATTTTGCAAAAGGAATTTTGCACTCAAGCCATTTGATGTGTAATTTTCAAAATCTGTGAAAAATGCACTTGCTATTGCAGTTGGTAAAATGAAGTTTGCAGAGCATAAGCGCTTCGGAAAAGTAGTGTTTACAAGGGAATCTTGTTCAGTCAAAGTGGTCTTTTTAGACGGGATGTATACCATATTGAAGAGCATAAAACGCTGCTTTTTTGTGAACGAGGAGTAATCAGCGTTTATTCGAGCAAAAAATTAAATGTGTTTAGGGTAAATTGAGTTGATATATTCTTCTTAGCCCTTGAATGAAGCAAACAAGCGTGACATATTTTTTTATTTGAAAATATTCATTGCACAAGTTGTTGTGATAAGCATCGCTGCTGTATTGAAGCGCTAAAAAATACGACGACAATTTTTTCCTATTTGCACTGCTCTAATAAAAGTAAACCTTCTCGCCTATAAACGTTCCGCAGATAAGGAGGTCAGATTTGAAATTAGCGTTTCATTTCCTCCAATACGGTATACATTTCATCCAAAAAGGTCACTTCGACTAAACATGGTCCCCTTGTTAACATGGCGGGGGAAAGTATTGAAAAAAAATTAAAAGTGTATGCAGTAATAACTGCGTTAAGATTTGCGAATTGATTTCCACATCAATTAAAATACGGAGTCTTGAAAATAGGGAAACTTGCTTGCTGCCATGCCATTTTTTACTTTATTACATTTCACATCCCAAGAAAATTTTTGGCTCAAGAATATGACCTTACCGCTTAGCTGGAGACGACTTTGACATAAAGTCACAACCCTAGCATTCGATAAAAAGATCCTACTTGTAAAAATTTTGGAACCATCAGCAATTTTTACAAATAATTTAGGGATAAACAACAAAAACGAGTGTTTATCCATAACCACTAACTTCCTCCATTCTCGCCGTTATGTGATCGAGCTGTGGCTGTATACTATGTGACAGCTCAATATATGCTTATTCGTCCGTGACGATCATCTACCCATAGGATGCGGAAAAAGGACTGTTCATCAGAATAAAATCCAAGAAATTGGCATGGTTTCTTTGTTCTTTTGAAATCTGGCATGAACAACATGATAAGAATACATTCCAGCATTTTACAAAAGCTGGTCCCAAAACCGTAATTTCATCCGGCGGAGGCTACGCACTGCGCATCCCATAACAACATTTGCCACTCTTTTCTACAATTATGAAGATTAAAAAAGTTTTCTGGCCTCGGGCACACCACGCATTTCAGTAGCTATGCGATTTGGCAACTTGCCAGATTCTTTCAAATCCAACACTGGCAAACTACAAATGCATAGTGTGTATAAAAATTACTTGGGCTAATGAAATGTCCTATCTTTTGTACCTTTGAAAGGCGCTTACGGTCAGTTATGGACAAGGAGTATTGCCAAATCGCGTCGAGATTATGATGAAGTATGCCCAGTCCCTTACAATCAAAATCTGAAAATTTTCTCTGCTCAAGCAATGTGGTAGTGACTTCTGTTATCCCGACTATAGCCAATCCACAAGTGCACTAAAAAAAGAGTTGTAAATTCTATCACACAGATGTTCTTGCAGCACAGCATGATGCGGTCTGAAAATGTGGCACAGAAATTACAGCCCTTGATCGCGCCTTATGTATTCATTATTTGCTATTTTTTTTTTGAAGTCTCAAGTTTCGAAAAATAGCCAGGAGCTAGCTGTAAAGTTTAGGCCATTCATTTTCTACTGTCCAAAAAGTTGATGGGTCTGTTTTTCGGAAAGTTGTCGGTGGTTTACACAGACTTCGGGACCAGTTGAGAATGAGGAATAGAAGTGACAATGACCAATAACAGACTACTCAATTTACAGTCAGACTCCACCCATTCATTTTCCAAATTTGTTAAGAAACTCAGCCATCGGCCGAAGTGATGTCAAGTTCAATCTATCTGCTGATGTGGCAGCTTTCGCTTATTCAGCTAACACCCGCAACTGAACAATTTGACTTATTCGCAAGGGGCTACGTGATTGAACCTTTAGTAAAGCTATACGGATCTCGGTAAGCGACAAGTAGGAAGAATTTGTGACTCGCCCACGAATCTTGGACCGGAAAATCACAGAACTTCACCTTAGTTATACCACAATAAAAGCTACTAAACATATTTGGGTGGCGGCCCTTTTTTCCTTCCTCCTTCTTTTCAGTTCTCCAAAGTTGTTGCTTCGTTTCTTGGCAATCGGGCATACCCTTCGATTCAACTGGCTTGGCGGCTGGAAGGCGGAGCTTCGTGACCTAATTAAGGCTACATAATGACCAGAGAGCATGCGCAAGAGAGACGCAGACTGCGTAGCGGGCGCGAGCGGCCTTAATTAGGTCACAAAGCCCCGCCTTCCAGCCGCCAAGCCAGTTGAATCAAAGGTTATTTCTTTCTGTAGTCGTAGTCTTTCACTTAGTCGTATACGTTCTACTTGTTCCTCGTCTTACTTTCGAAGGATTACTTTTACATTGCTTTTACTTTCTTGCCGAACAAGCAGTATACGCTGATATAAAGTCACATCAATGATGTAAAATAAAGTTTTGATGACTAGAAAAAGGATGTGCGCTAACAAAACTTTCAGGAGTAAATGGAGGAGACTACTACGAGCTGTTGAATGATGTAAAAAATTGAGAATTATTTGATAAGAAATCAAATAAAAAGGAAGAATTTCACATATGAACAATATGTACGTAGTTTACAACGGGGAAAATTTATTCTTTCTATTCTAATGCTTTGATATATCAGGAAAAGGTATGCATGACCGGAAAAATAAGTTCACAGCCGGCAAAACAACACAGAATTCTGAAAATTACTCACGCTTACACCTTGAAGATCCTCACACCTTTTTTGTGTGTTTATGGACTTCTGAAGATGAGATCAATTGTCCAACTTCTAGATTTCTGAAAAATATATTCTTTACATAAGAGGCTCGGAAAATATGCGAAAATGAAAAATGAAAATGCGAATAAAAGAAGTTGCAAGTAATTTTTTAGCAGTTTGACAGAATCCTGACTTTGGAAAGAGAATCAGGACGATGGGACTCGTGATGGTAGAACAAAGAAGCAGCTGTTGTTATGAGAACCACTACCCTTATTCGCATGCTAACTAGATATGCGAAGCTGAAGACGATAATACTCAAATATTCTTTTATGCAAAAATCTGATTTCCTTAAAGAATTGTCAGGATTCAAAGGACGCAAAAAATGATTGGGACAAGTAATGTCTAGACGAAGAAGAAGTCTCGCAGACATATTAGGTTGTCCGGCAAATAATGTCGCATGGCATCCTACCGCGACAGAATGACCACAAAAAACAGCGAATGGGGTATCATTTGATAGGGTAAAGCAAGCACTACAAGGTAGTCTACAAAGCTCCGCGGAAGTCTTGCTCCATCTAAAGTTCGAATCCAAAATATAAGAAATTTCAAATGTCAAAAAATCATATCTCCGTGCATAAACGTCTTAGGGATCTCCAATTTGTACAGGCATGTACTCTCCACACTAGACCTTCACCTGTGTAGTTTGTGGAATTTTTCCGTGGCTACAGTACGACAGCCAAAAATAGGTCAAAAGTGCGAATATGTGGCGTTTTTCGGGTTTTTTGTAAACAATTTAATTTTTCTCGAAAACTAGCGCTTGTCTAAAGCTGAAAATTCATGGTTATACTCCTGAGGGTTCATACTACAGAATCGCCCATGTGAAGAGAAGCTCAGGAACGCTTTGGCAAAAACATGCCGAATTTCGTTTTCTTAATTTTCGCCATGGCCGCGGAAACGTGCATACGAGTGTCTCGTATAGTGAGCTCAGGCGTGAGCAAATCAAGCGCAGGGCTCGGCACGAGGTGGCTAGTTGAAAATGCAAAAAACGAAGTTCCCCTTGACTTTTGCAAATTTTTACGAAGTCCCCTTTGACCCTAGACCATGGCTCGGCACGAGGTGGCGTCCCAAAATTGCAAAAAATAAAGTCCCCTTTGACTTCAATAAAATTACGACATCCGCCACGAGATATTCGAAGAGAAAATACATGAAAAGGAACGGAACAAAGCAACAGCAGAAAAAAAACGAAAAAGATTCATCGAACACACGCGATGATATTCATATTCTCCGGAATGGCGGCATGATGTATCCATCGTGCAGCAATATGCGCCTAGAGCAGCCTTTCCGCGGCCATTCAAAATTTTCAATTGGCTATAACTAAGCGGGGAGAAGGGGGTTTGAGGCGGTTCAGAAACCAGTTTGTAGGGTTTGGGATGTAGATGAAAAGTATGTAAAGAAAGTAGAAAAATTATGTGAGGGAAGAAAAATTTATGACTTTTTCTTTCCTAAGCCACCTCAGGTGGCTATCCAGGTGGCTTGAAAGCCACCTAACTCCGAAAAAAGTTGAGCACGCCTTTAGTTCACATAATTTTCTCATAATTTTTCATACTTAGTCCTAATTCCCCATTGCCCATCTATACACCGATTTTGGTGTCATTTCATCTTCACTTCGCTGTAAACAAACCTTTTGTTTATTTGCTAGCGGCATGCCGGCAGCGTGCCGGCCGCAGACCGAAAGACAACGTTATGCTCTACCGCAAAAACGATGTCTTCTTTGCTTTTCCCCAAAAACGATATCCAGCTTGCTTGTGAAGCCACCTGTGCCGAGCCCTGATCAAGCGTTCCTAGGACTTTTCTAAACGGAGATACGATTTTTTTCGTTTTTTTAGATCTTTAGTGCCTTATAAAATTTGGATCCAAACTTCACGCAAACCAAAGCTGGCGCGAAAGTTTGAGCTTCATTTTGTAGAGCTTGCTCTGATCTATCGGTTTATATCCCGCTCACTTACTTTCGTGCGCAAGATTTTCCTGAGTTCCCTAATTTTTGCAGAGAGAGGAAAAAAGTGCAATAAGATTTAATAATACTAGTAAAAGTATTTCATCTAACACGTATCCCAAGACGGCTCAAAATATGAATTATCTTCTATATCAATTCTTTTTACAATTATATACGAATGTAAACTTACAAAACTCATCAACTTGAACCTAGTTTTACAAGTGTCATATTACGTGAAAGATACTCAGAGTCTATGGGACCTCCTTCCTTAGGAGTTACGAGGAAGTCTTATAGATTGAAGGAAGGAAAAGGAGATTTAGGACAAAATTGTCTTCTTTATATTATATCCATTGGAGGGAGAATAGTTTCGATTGCAGCTACTGTGCTGTAGAAAGCGTCCCAGGAAGCTTTTGTAAATGAAGGAATACGAAGAAAAATCTTAATGACATGAGTTCTGAAAAGTTTTGATGAATGGATGATTAAATTTGATTCTCTCTGATCAAGGACGATTAAGAGAAGAAAGTACTCATATGATCTATTAGGTCGTATTAATTTCCCATTATGTAATGAGCCTATCAAGTGGTTTACTTTGTTCACATCTAAAGTGCTCATTGATTCATCTTATAGCTTCCATGAACATTACGTAACGTGCTACATCCTAACACAAACAATTCAGATTTCTTTCGTCTTAATTGAATCGATAAGAATTTCTGATTTTTATTTATTTACTTCTTTTAACGAGCGGTTCCTCATCAGTCTGACGTTTTTTCTTCTTATTTCATTTCCTGGGCTAGAAAAACAAAAGTCGAACTTCTTTTAGTTAAAGATGCTATGTATAAGAAGCAAGGCAGAAAGTGTTTTAGTGTAACCCCCCAGCGATAATATCTCATTGATTATACCAAACTTTAGCAAACATTTTTCTCCAGAAATATGTACAAGAAACTAGCATTCGTGATGTAGTGTTTGCGTCTTTTTCTCAGAACGATAAAACGAAAACTCTTGCCATTTACGTCAAATTACACAAAGAATTCATGAAATCGCTCCAGCAAAGTAATACCCTATATATTAGGTGGGTGCAAAAGTTCGTTCGCCAGTTTTTGAAAAAATCGTAACCTTCTTCCGACTCAATGTCTCTTAGATTTTATACTCATTTAGAAGAGAAAACCTTTCTCTTTACAGCAGTACCTTTGCCATGAATTGGCATGAGAAAATTTGGAAGTTAAAAGCAACTAAAGGAAATTAGTCAAGATTGACATTTTTCAGGCTGGATCACGAAAAATTCTGGAAGTATTTTTGTTTGATAGAGAAAATTTTGCACATTACAATGATGCCTTTTCCATGAATCAAAATGAAAAAAATCGAGAGTTAGAAACAAATAAAGAGGATTACTTCAGTTTTGCAATTTTTGAGCATGCTCAAAAAAGCCTAAAGACGTCACAGAAAGGACGGAGAAGTCATGAGCATGAGTTTTGTAACCTTCTCTTTCTAGCTGAGCAAAATCGTACCAATCGAGAGCAATTTTGTTTTCGTGAAAAACGCAGGCCCGAAAATCCGAAAAAAAAAATCACGAAAAACAAAATTGCTCTCAATTGGCACGATTTCCGCTCAGCTAGAAAGAGAAGGTTACAAAACTCATGTTCATGACTTTTCCGTCCCTTCTATGACGTCTTTAGGCTTTTTTGAGCATGCTCAAAAATTGCAAAACTGAAGTAATCCTCTTTATTTGCTTCTAACACTCGATCTTTTTCGTTTTAATTCATGGAAAAAGTACCATTAAAATGTGCAAAATTTTCTCTATCAAACAAAAATACTTCAAGAATTTCTCGTGATCCAGCCTAAAAAATGTCAATCTTGACTAATTTCCTTCAGTTGCTTTTAACTTTCAAACTTTCTCATGCCAATTCATGGCAAAGGTATTGCTGTAAAGAGAAAGGTTTTCCCTTCTAAATGGGTATAAAATCTAAGAGATATATTAAGTCGGAAGAAGGTTACGATTTTTTGAAAAACTGGCGAACGAACTTTTGCACCCATCCAATACTTTCCGTAGCTTGCAGTGATTTACCGCAGAACTGAAGGTCACCTCTGCCACCTTAGCCATGACACAAATAGATTGGTGGCATGATAGCGGTCAAAATGCTTGCAACCAACATCGCCCTTGTTTTACCGGTTTTGCCATTAAATTGCTCAATTTGGAAAGCAATTTGGTTTCTCAGAGTCGTTCATCGGGATCATGCGGTGACGAGTTGGATTGCATATTTGAGATTTCCGAAAACAAAAGGGCCAAATTTCAGTGGAAATTTTTTTTGCAAGGACGGTATTTTACGTCTTCACTATAAATATTAGGTTGTCTCAAAGGTAAAATCCTTTACTAAGTAAATCAAGCTGTCTTTGTTTCACTAGCAAGCTTAGGGTATCTTTGATAAAGCGAAGCAAGCTTTACGGAATGACCACCAAAGATCGAATCCAGGCAAAGTCTAAAGCCGAAATCGGAAAAAAATTTATCACCTGAAATTAGGATTTTTCCGAAAAAAATCCTACTCGCCTCAAACTTGGTCATTATATAGTAGACTCATAGCAGCACTCAACTATACCTTTACAGGATTTTTATCACGCTCAAAAAGCGAAAAAAAAAGATAACCCAAAAATGCCAAATTCTGCCCAGCCTTCTCATATATGTCATTGTACATTAAAAGCCTCAGTAAGTATAAATTTGATCATTGCCCTTTATGCCGCTTATGATCGAGATGTACCAAGTTCAATGTGAAAACCAGAAAAAAGTGACATTTTTGCATTTTCGGGCCATTTTAATTCCTCAATTTTGAGCCCCAGAAGCTTGCTTCGTTTTATAGAATGGTACCCTAAATCTGCCAGGAAAACAAAAACAGCTTAATTCATTTACAAATGGAGTTTACTTTTGCGTCAATTTAATAGTATAGTGATTCAAAGTTACAAGAGTGTAAGACAGATCGACGAAAAATCCTTGAGAACGTACAGATCCCGATACTGGAACGTGTAAATAAGATGCTTGAAGTACACTTTCAAAGTCAAAATAAATCTGTTGAATCCAGCCAGTCTGTAGTGTTCCTGGAATTTTGCCGGAGATATGATGTAACCTTTGATTTAACTGGCTTGGCGGCTGGAAGGCGGAGCTTTGTTACCCAATTAAGGCCGCTCGCGCCCACGATGACGCAGTCTGCACTTCTATCGCGCGCCTCTCCCTGATCTTTATGTACCTTGATTAGGCTACCAAGCCCCGCCTTCCAGCCGCCAACCCAGTTGAATCAAAGGGT